TCAACTTGTTGGGTCAACTATCACAGATCCCTTGGATGAATACAAGAAAGCCGTTGTTTCAATCATTGAGGAGTACTTCAGCACTGGTGATGTGGCATTGGCAGCATCTGACCTCAAAGAACTAGGCTCAAGTGAATATCATTCTTACTTCATTAAGCGACTTGTTTCCATTGCCTTGGACAGGCATGATAAGGAGAAGGAAATGGCTTCAGTTTTGCTTTCATCTTTGTATGCTGATGTCATTAGCCCTATCCAGATTAGAGATGGATTTTTCATCCTTCTTGAATCTGCTGATGACCTTGCAGTGGACATACTGGATGCAGTAGACATCCTCGCTTTGTTCCTTGCTCGTGCAGTGGTTGATGACATCCTTCCTCCAGCCTTCCTCACCAGGGCAAAGAAAGCACTCCCAGAATCTTCAAAGGGGGTTCAGGTTATCCAAACTGCTGAGAAGAGCTATCTTTCAGCTCCACACCATGCAGAACTTGTGGAAAGAAGGTGGGGTGGTAGCACCCACATTACTGTTGAAGAGATGAAGAAAAAAATTGCTGGTCTATTGAGGGAATACGTAGAAAATGGAGATACTTTTGAGGCCTGTCGGTGCATAAGGGAGTTGGGAGTTTCATTCTTTCATCATGAGGTTGTGAAGAGGGCTTTGATTCTTGCCATGGATATTCGAACATCAGAACCACTAATAATGAAGCTATTAAAGGAAGCGGCTGAGGAAGGGCTGATTAGTTCTAGTCAAATGGTAAAGGGGTTTTCTCGTTTGGCAGAGACCCTTGATGACCTTGCTCTTGATATTCCATCAGCAAACACCTTGTTTGAGTCGTTGGTCCCGAAGGCCATATCCGAAGGTTGGCTTGATGCATCATTTTTGAAATCCTCTGGTGAAGATGGTGGCGTACGAGCCGAAGATGAAAAAGTGAAGCAGTACAAGAAAGAGATTGTGGCCATAATTCATGAATATTTTCTCTCAGATGACATTCCGGAGCTTATCAGGAGCCTTGAAGATCTTGGGGTACCCGAATATAATCCATTATTCTTGAAGAAGCTGATCACCCTTGCAATGGATCGAAAAAACCGTGAAAAGGAAATGGCATCTGTTCTGCTTTCTGCCCTTCACATTGAGATCTTCTCAACTGAGGACATAGTTAATGGGTTCGTCTTGCTTCTTGAATCTGCAGAGGATACTGAACTGGACATTTTGGATGCTTCAAATGAGCTTGCGCTTTTCCTTGCACGAGCTGTCATTGATGATGTCTTAGCTCCCCTGAATTTGGAAGAAATTGGCAGCAAGTTGCCACCAGATTGTAGTGGGAGTGAGACTGTTCGAATGGCTCAATCACTCATTTCTGCTCGTCATGCTGGTGAGAGGATCTTGAGGTGTTGGGGAGGCGGGACCGGCTGGGCTGTGGAGGATGCAAAGGACAAGATAGCAAAGCTGCTGGAGGAGTATGAGAGTGGGGGTGTAGTGAGTGAAGCCTGCCAGTGCATTCGTGATCTTGGGATGCCCTTCTTCAACCATGAGGTGGTGAAGAAGGCACTGGTCATGGCCATGGAGAAGAAGAATGACAGGATGCTTCACCTGCTTCAGGAGTGCTTCAACGAAGGGCTGATCACAATTAACCAGATGACAAAAGGCTTCACCCGAATCAAGGACGGGCTAGATGATTTGGCTCTTGACATTCCGAATGCAAGGGAGAAATTCAGCTTCTATGTGGAGCACGCGCAGGAGAAAGGGTGGCTCCTTCCTTCCTTCGGATCATCTGCTGCGGATGGCTCACACTGACCCAGGCTGCAGCTTCTTGAGAAGAACATATATTTTTCGATTTGCTTCTCTCTCATGTATGTTGTTGCCCATGAGCTCTGTGTACTGTTTACAGCCGTTGTTTTCTGCACTTTTTTAAAAGGTGGGATGTGGGTGGTATTGGGATGTTTAGATTTTTGTTCTGATGTTTTTCTGTTGTTAGCGGTAAAATCTGATCGACGAGATTATAGTGATCCCACTGCCAATGTATAAAGTTGGTTCTCTTCGCTTACCATTGACATCTTTTTAAGTTTTACAGCCTATGGGTGTCGTTCCTCTGATGCTCTGCCGTTGGATTTTGCTACATTTTCTTTTTCTTTTATTATTAAACATGCAATGGTTCCTTTACACGAAGAAAGAAATTGCACCCATTCCCCGAAGTTCTTTGTGTACATTTCTCAAAGATGAGAATTAAGGTTCAAAATGTGAAAAACTTTTTTCTTTAAGGACAATTAAAACTGAAGGTCACAAAAATCTTAGAAGGGGCTTGCAACTCCAGGGGAGCGTTCGGTTTTGCACCCGATGGTTTGTGTTAGATTCTCTCTTCTTCCAGTACCGTTTGTATTTATATATATATATATATAATAGAAGTTCATGAAAACCTATGCAAACCAAGCTTCAAAATTTTTTCCCTGTACTCCGACATTGTACTCTCAATCCCACTAAAGGAGATTTCGATCTGTACTCAGGCTACAAGCATTGTAACTTCTTGTTCTCTTTCGATGCACCACTAAAGCCCGCATTCTTGTTTTCTTGGACGACAACGACATCGTTCCTTGCTCTCAACTCTAGGCATTTTGATGAAACACATGGCCTTAGCCAGTAACCTAGTTGATTATCTTACTCATTTACACATGATTGAAATTTTTAGTCCTTAAGAATTTCATTTAACAACCAATTTATGTCAACCCACAGATAGAGCAACCCAACCCCTGGGTGTGTGCTCTTGGCTGAAGAGATTGAAGTCCCCAATTGTAAACCAAGCAAAATTAATGTTGTACTAGTTCCGACTTCGATACATATTTCAGTTACCACAATTTTATATGGATTTTATTGATTTGTTTTATCTAACTGTATGTTTTGAGTTTGGCTAGTGCAAGTATGTGTATATATATATTTAGTACAAGCGATAATTTAAACTAGAAGAGATGAGATTTCTTACACACACAAGATGCCATGGAAATTCAAACATAAAACCTTTGATTTGCAAATTCAGGTTTTTTTCCATTAGATTATACCTCATTTGCATATCTTATATATGATAAGGACATGCAATTCGTATTTCGGTCCCCAAATGAATAAATACAACAAGGTATCAGACAAAAAATAATGGCAGTCCACATCCTCTCCCATTAGCTATAATAAATGAATACTTGAAATTCAGAGTTTGCTTGCATACATGAAACATATCCCAATATGGCTGGATAAATTCCCCAAGAATTACAAGGAAGAAAATATTTTACAAGGGAATCCGCCATCGCTTTCAAGCCTTCACATATTTAATTGGTTTATTAATAAGCTTGGCCTCAACGTCCTCCCCATCTTCAAGAACAACCTCATTAGTCCATAGCTTATTCCATTCTAAGAAGGGACGAGATTCTTATAAAAATGGCGAGGACGGTGACACTAAATTGCAAGAGGCACTGCAAGAGGAAGATGAAATATTTTCCTAGTTTTTTGAAGATCGAGTGTATTGGAGCAAATTTTACACCACCGGACAATTCCTTCCTAGTTCGTGATCTCGGGAGTCTCACGAACTTTATTATATGCTGGTAGGGTTTGATTTCTTAGGGTTGGAATGAGCCACACTAAGCATATGTGTGTGGGTACGCTTAATGGGCCTAATATTAAAAGAATATCTTAAGTATTTTTTTTAATCTTTCAGCCCAATAGAAATATGTACGAGAAAATTGTAAAGAAAAATATCAATTTTCATAAAGGCAAAACGAATCGTTTCGGTTGTTCCCTTCCGTTCGTAGGTTTTGTTTTGTTCTGGGCAAAGTGGTCATTTTGTAGTTGTTAAACTCTGTTTGGTTGCTGAGAAAATCGACCGAAAGAAAAGGGAAAGAAAATGGGAAAACCTCGCGTCTAAGCAAAAAGTCTTCCAAACGTTTTCTGTTTATTTCTTCGCCTCCATCGGTGGAAGCACAAAAATGTCCGAACGGAACGATTCTCAGCCGTACACAGTGCCGCAGCTCGCAACCCCAAAGAGCTCAAAGCCGCCACAGCCGCTACAGGTCCCCGGTTTGGCTGCTAATCTCAATGTCGACCCTCCTGAAACGGACGGTGCGATTCCTTCCACGTGTCAGCATCAGACCTCATCAGTTTTCTCTCTCCTTCCCCCTTTCCCAAAAGTAACGTGTAACAAGGACACTGACACCAGTGAAGCTGAAGGTAAACGATTAAACAAACTGGGGAAAAGCAGGTCAAGGAATTGTAAGGCAGAGTGTTCTATGGATTATGGGGCTGATGCTGATGGCTACTTGCCTGGTCAAGGCGTTTCGTCGTCTCGTGAGGAGAAAGTCAGCAGCCTCAAAACTGTGAGGACCCTTTTCAATGGTGGTTTTGTGTTTGCTTCTTTCGCATCATTTGCTTTGTTTTTTTTTGTTTTTTTATTGACATGGTTGGTGGGTGCATTTTGCTTGTAGGGTTTAGTTCATGTTGCAAGGAGGATGCCTAAAAATGCCCATGCTCATTTTATACTGGGTTTAATGTATCAGAGATTGGGGCAGCCTTCGAAGGTAGCTTTTTGATTTTCCTATGGCTCTTTAATTTGATTACTTGGGTGTAATGGATGTTTTCATGTTTCTGGGTTTTAGGCAGTTTTGGCATATGAGAAGGCAGAAGAGATTTTACTCCGCCCTGAGGCTGATATCGATAGGCCGGAGCTGCTTTCACTAGTTCAAATTCATCATGCACAGGTGAAGTAGTCTTTTACTACATTGTTCTGTACACTATTTATTCTTTTAGATAGATATGAAAGTTACTGACACAGCTGGTATTTTTGTCAATTGTGTAGTGCCTTATGCTAGAAACTTTGGGGGATAGTAGTTTCGACAAAGAACTTGAACCTCAAGAGCTTGAAGAAATTAATTCGAAACTAAAGGAGTCAATGCAGTCAGATGTAAGACAGGCAGCTGTCTGGAATACCCTCGGCTTGATTCTACTTAAAACTGGCCGTCTGCAGGTACAAGTTTTTAATTTTGTTGTTGGTAATAGTTGTTCTTTCTTTTTCCATTTTCTGATATGGATGTTTTTATTACTGTTTAGAGTGCTATTTCAGTTTTGTCTTCTTTGTTAGCTGTTGCCCCCGACAACTATGATTGCCTTGGAAACCTTGGGATTGCTTATCTTCAAAAGTAAGAGTGTATACATGTTGATAGAATAATGTTCTCTTCAATATTTTGACCTCTTATATATCTCTAACTTAAAATGATTGCAAATGGTCTTTTCTTCAGTGGAAATTTGGAACTTTCAGAAAAATGTTTTCAGGAGTTGATCCTCAAGGATCAAAATCATCCCGCGGCCTTGATAAATTATGCTGCCCTTCTTTTATGTAGATATGGTTCAGTTGTTGCAGGTATGGGTTTGATGAAGTTGACTAGTTTCATGAACTCTTTTCATTTGCTTTTTTTGCAGTGCCTACTATGTAAATTTTTAAGAAGGTGGATACTGGTCAATTTTTGTAGAATGCTGCTTTATCATTTTAAATTTGTGATAATGTCTGGTTGAAGAACCTGTATCCCTTGCTTAATTTTCAGGTGCTGGGGCAAATGCTGGTGAAGGTACTTCTGCAGATCACGTTTCTGGTATAAATGTTGCAAAGGAGTGTTTGTTAGCATCACTAAAAGAAGATCCTAAAGCAGCACATATTTGGGCTAATCTTGCTAATGCATATTATATAACTGGTGATCATAGAAGTTCCAGCAAGTGCTTGGAGAAGGTGCTCATGGCTCATTGCTACAATCATTTATAGCTTATTTCTTGAGGTTGTTCATTGGTGTCCTTTTTTTTCATGGTTTTCATTTTCATTTACGGAAAATGATGATGCATAACTTTTTTCAGTGCATGTCTTTCCAAATTTTATTTTATTTTATTTCTATGGGTCGAAAAATAGAACTTAAGAATGCACTCTTTTTGCTCATTCTTGTGTTCCATGCATCACTTTGCTGCTTATCGTTTTTAGGACAGTTTCATGCTCCTTTTACTACATGGCTTCTACTCCGTCCTTGACAAAATAACAAATTGGCTTAAGCTGTTTTTTTCTTGCTACTGCTTGCTTCTTAGGCAGCAAAACTAGAGGTCAATTGTTGTATGTCTACTCGATATGCTATTGCAATCCACCGAATCAAGGATGCGGAAAGGTGTCAAGATCCTAGTGAACAACTTTCCTGGGCTGGAAACGAAATGGCTTCAATTATAAGAGATGGCGACTCTGCTTCAGTCGAACTTCCGATAGCATGGACGGGGCTTGCGATGGTGCACAAAACCCAACACGAGATTGCAGCAGCATTTGAAACTGAACAGAATACACTAATGGAGGTAGAAGAACGTGCTGATTATAGTTTAAAGCAGGTAATCACAACAGAGCTACTAAGATTCCATTTACTTCTCTTAGCATGACATGACATGATAAAAGGAGCTCCTTATGTAATAATGGATGACATATTCAAATCGATTGGCTTTTATATACCACACCGGACGATTCCACCGTTTATAGTCGAAAAGAATAGTCACATTAGGTTTTTCAAACCGGAAGAGACAGGATGTACACTAGTTCTTTGTAATATCATACATCTCTTCACAACCTTTGTTTTCACATTTGCCTAATGTGTCTCTGTAATAAACAAGATTTTTAGCTTTAGTTAAGTGACAAGTTTGTCAGAAATGTAGGAGGTGTGGGAAAAGGCAAAGTACTGGGCAACGCTATGGGCTTCTGTTTCTCCTATTTTTAGGAACACATCTCTTTCAAACATTTTGCTTGATTGGAAGGCTGCAGTGTCTTGATTAGGATTGTTTTCTTCTCATAATTGGAGATCTCTGTACTCATTTTACTGTTTCTTCCTGTTATTGGTGGATTACTTGTCCACCTTTTTGTATGGTTTTTTATGAAATTTTTTTTTCTCCTTGTCAAAAAATAATACAGATTGTAAGTTTCCTATCATATGTGACCCTTCATAACCCATAGTCTGTGTTAGCAAAATTCAAAAAGAAAGTAACGTGCTTAATACTGTTGTTTTATTTAAGTATGTTTACACCATGATTATTTGGAAAATCATATCCATGTCCAATACGATGCACTTGAATTTATGTTAGTCTGTTTTATGCAGGCAATAGCAGAGGATCCAGATGATGCTGTGCAATGGCACCAACTTGGTCTTCATAGCCTTTGTACTCAGAAATTCAAACACTCACAGAAGTACCTCAAAGCAGCAGTTTCCCGTTTTAGGGAATGTAGCTGTGCATGGTCAAATCTAGGTATCTCAATCTTAATACCATTTTCTTATGTCTATATTTGTTTGGTTCTCTCTCTCTCAAGAAGTTGGTAAAGTTATTTATCGTATACATACATCACTAGGTATCTCACTGCAACTATCGGAGGAGTCATCACACGCTGAAGAAGTATACAAGCGAGCCTTGGCATTGGCGACAACTAAACATGCCCATGCTATACTCTCCAACCTTGGAAATCTCTACCGCCAGCAGAAGCAATATGAACGTGCCAAAGCAATGTATACAAAATCTCTTGAACTCCAGCCTGGCTATGCTCCTGCATTTAACAATTTGGGTCTTGTATTTGTTGCTGAGGGACGATGGGAAGAAGCCAAATTCTGCTTCAGCAAAGCCCTCCAGGCAGACCCGTTGCTGGATGCTGCCAAGTCCAACATGATTAAAGCAGTGTCTGCATCAAGTTCATGTGCAGGCTTGTCGAGTCTTCTTCAAGATTAAATTGTAAGCAAGTGATAGGGTAGGCAGGTTTCCTAGCCAAGATTAGGGTTGTAAAACGGTATTAATTAATGAGAAAATGAGAAGAAGCGTTCTGTACATGCAAGCCTCATTCTTGCACATATTTGTCCACGAAGGGTTAGATGTAGAGCTTGTTTTCCAGTCCAATGCATCCCAATTTTGTATGATAAGATAACTTTTCAAAACAGAAATAAGATTATTGTCCAACGACAAAATGTTGCTTTTTTTTTCTTCGAACTCATTGAGATTGTTTTGGCTCTTTCTTTGGTTATGTTTGACCCGCACAAGAGGTCCATGTAGACAAGTTCACTACGCTAGTTTGATTGATGTGAACGTCTGAAAACAGTGTCTCGATGTATAAGGTTGCTTCATTTTCCACCACTGGTTTCAACTTTGATTGCGCTAAGTCTTTTGATGAGAAAAGATGGTGGGTGGCATGTGAAGTTGAGGCCATAATCTAACTGATCATGCGGAGAAAAATCTAGAGTATGCTATTGGAAACAGTTATATACTTTCATGCTTACCCATTTTGGCTCTCATAAATTTTCTTTTCTGAGCCTCCACCAAACCTTAAAAAACTTACATGGCTGCAACCTTAGGAACTACCATGGCTATGCTTCATCATAGGTGCTTCGCCATCAAATCCTTCAAAAATATGAGCACTTATAAACCAACCATGAAACCTATTTCCCTTCTGACCCTCAAAGACATACCTAAAAGCTTCACACCCTTCAAATCTCCTATTAACTCCAAGTGTTCCACTTTGATCACCAGCACCATTGTTTCCACCTTGATTTCTTGCGGTCCTGCTTTCAGTGCGCAACAAATAGCGGAGATTGCAGAAGGCGATAACCGTGCCCTGGCACTCCTACTCCCCATCATTCCAGCTATACTGTGGGCTCTGTACAACATCCTTGGGCCAGCTTTAAACCAAATTAACAGAATCAGAAGTGAGAAGAGCAAGTGAATTTGGAATCGTTAGTGAAGCTTCAAGTAGTAACAAGAGCTTAGTTTTGTTATTTGTTGCCACTCCTACCCTTCCTTGGGAGCTCTACAACACTCTTCAACCTAGAAACTGTGTAGCTAAGTTTTATTGTGAATAATTCATAGAATCGTGTAACATTTAACTTTAACATATATTTCATAGAAAATTCTGTCTGATTAGATATATAAATGCTATGGAGATTCATCTCACAACCTGTTGTGATAAATATAGAAATTAACATTGGACTAGATCCAGCGTGAAAGAAATTCATAGCTTAAGATCATTCCAAAAGCCTGCCTTAGCAATAGAAGCCCCTTGTAATACTTCATCCAGAGATTCACCAATGAAAACTTTGTCTGCTTGAGAATTGCTAATTCATACTTTAATATACATCAAGACTGCTACAAAATGCTGTGGCATTTATTTATTGTCTTAGCTGAAACCCTAATCACCATCCAAGGAATTTTTGATGGAACAGATAATTGCTGAAAACTATATGAGCTAGCTCACGTACTGCTTGAGAAGGCTTCTGCAGAATGCCAAGTCAAATCGCTCCTCTGGCGGATCTCCAATGAAGTCGAAGACTGCATCTGCATTCAGAAAGTCTTCATTGGCTGTGTATCTGCAACCAGAGTTAAAGATGAAGAGAACATGTTAAGCATTTGCTGCTAGAAATTTGACATGCGTGACCGGCAAAGATTACACTTACTCATTCCAAATTTCCAACAACCCATCTTAAAAGTTTGAAAAATAATATGGAATGTGAAGAACGTGGAAAATACCCGCTCTTAGTTACTATACACTTCATTCCAGCCGCTTTGGCAGCTGCAAGGCCTATGCCGCTGTCCTCTATCACAACACAACTGTAGAATAGGAAAATCAAATCATTTTTCATGAACCAAAAGGTTAAACATGGAAGTTGGATATCTTAGTAAATGAGGTAGAGAAAGCACATCAATCCCTCAAATCCATAAATTAGATTCAAATAAAATCTCATTATGTTGGTTGTTGTAGCATCAGAAATTTGGGCTAGAGTGTCCTGCAATACCATGAAGGATCAACACCAAGAGTGTTAGCCGCCAATACATAGATGGCCTGTCAAGAAGAATGAACATAGTTTAGTTTCTAAATGTGTCTGAGAGCCTGAGCTTGAGTGAACTCGAAGTAACCAGACATCATTAAATCAAAATGTAGAGGGATTAAAGTTTACTGGATCAGGCTTCTTGCGGGGAACCACATCTCCTGCAAATATCTTGATTTTTTCTGCCCGTTCTGGTCCCAGCAAGAATGTAACTATTGCAGAGACCTTAAAATCAGAAAACGGTTCTAACGTCAAAATGGGAGGGCACTCTATGAATCAGTATTATTTATTTCACAAATAAGCTAAATTGACCGCAGAGAACAAGATTATGATCACTTGTCTTTAATTTTATGCTCAAAATAAAGTGCAAAGCTGATAAAGAAGATGTACTAAGGATAAAATGAGATCCCATAATTTCAATTTTCAGTGCATTTAATTATCAATGAGCAATGTCAATCTGATCTAGACCCAATAGCTTTTGGAAACATGTAAAAGTTAGGTTTTGATTAATATAGTTCTTGAAGAATCACAGAAAAACTAATTATGCAAGCAATTAAGTTGTGGAACCTGATTTAGCATACCGCCTTCTCATTGGAAGTGCTGCACACAGCAACTTTAACTCCTTCTGCTAAAGCCTGATCTATCAGCCTGTACAAGTTGATAAGAGAAACTCAGCTACCTAACATATCTTGAATTTGAAATTTTACTTGGATAATCTTACTCACCTTCTGGAACCATTATCTTATTATTATACTCATAATGATATTTAGATTCTTAAGTGGTTGATTTTCTTAAAGCCATTTTATTATCAAATGAATTGGCATCTCTAAATCACTGTAAAATGAGACAAATCTTAGCCATCAATATCATTACATCCAATTCGTAGAACCAGAAAATGCAAGAGAGATATAACACACTAACGTCAAATAATAAATTTTGCATGCAAGAGCAGAAGATCAGATGGTAACCAACTTTGCAACTCCTGGCCGAAGCGGCAGCAGTTTTTTCTCAATAAGGGCCATAAACAACTCTGTCTTTCTCTTGTGAAGTGAAGCTATGAATGCTTTTCTTTCTTCTTCACTTTTCGGAGCATTTTCTGGCCAACCCGTCTTGTTAAAATAGGCTGTCATCCTACGAAAACCAGAACCGTTCGAGTACAAATAGAAATCAAAGTTCTGCACTAAATTAGATGTTTGCCCATATAAAATTTAAACCAAATAATTCAATGTATAAATAAAAAGAACAAAACTAAGCAACCCAGGAACCATGCAACTCCAATGTAAGCTAGCTATAGAGTATTTGGGAGAGACCACTTTACCTTTCCTTTCCACCTCCAATCTTGAGCAACTCGCCGTACAAATCTACATCCCAAGTAACACCCAATTCTTTCTGTGCAATCAATCAAGTCATGTCACTAATGAAAGTAATTGAGATTGTCTACCAATAATTTCGATCAAATCTAAAGCTAATTTCTCCCCGGGTCCTAAAAATGATTGAAAACGCAGACTGACAATTCCAATTTCTCTTTAAACTTCAGCTATTTACGAGCTTACCAAGCACAACATCCATAGCAATTCCCCAAAAGCAAGAAAACCCATTTCATCAAACCACACACAAACATACACAGATTGAAGAAAAACAGAAAAACAGAGACACCAGAGAAGACCAAGGGACTGTTACCTCTTTGAAAGTGTCATTGAAAGAAATGCGGTGGCCATCCTTCTCCGTATCGACAAGCACGCCATCGCAATCAAAGAGAAGAGCCGAAGGAAGAGGAGAAGCAGAAGCTGAGCAAGTGATCTCAGAACTGGATGTTCCAAGCCTCCTGCTGCTCAATGGTCTTGTTGTTTTGCTAATGGCTATTTTTGTACCCACAAGTGAAGATTGTAAGGTCCTTTCATGGGATTTGAGGTTGGCAATGGAGGTGGTATTTTTGTGAGATAGCAAAGGTGTCGTAGAAGATAATGTAGCTAAGGAATAACAGACAGCCATTGACGCCATTAGAAACCACTCTCTTCAAAAGATCAAAGTAATTTTGGACTAATGAAAGTCTCCTACTTTTGCGGTTTTCTTCTCAACGGTCCTTAACTAACTTATCTACACACACCATTTTGGGCCAGAGAGCGACAAAACAGAACTTACACATCATCTGAGGCCCAACTCTAGGGGTATAACTGCCATTTCGCATTAGGACCAGGAACTAGGGTTGGGCACAGTCCAGTTTGGTCTAGTTTTCCTCTCGAATTAGAACTGAAATCGGAACTTATAAACCGTCCGGTTTGGTTTGGTTTTTATAGAAAGTGTCTAAAAGAATCGAACCAAACTTATGCAGTTTTAATTCCGTTCAGCCCAATTTTCAATTTGGAAAGATAAAAATATAAAAATGTGAAGAAGAGAGAAATAGGATGGATAGAAAAATGGAAGAAGATAAAAATATGTACAATGGATAAAATAAGAGAGGAAGAGGTGAAGAGATAAGTAGTAAGAGAAATATAAAGAAATATGTGGAAAAGAGAGAACAACAGGTGAAGAGATAAGTAGGAAGAGAAATATGAAGAAATATGTGGAAAAGAGAGAGACGGAAGCACAATAAGAACGAATATAGTTTGCTCCAAAAAGAAATTGGATTAGAGTAGTTATTTAGTTGGGTACAAATTGGAACTAAGACATCTGGGTATTAATTGGGCTAAAATATCTATGTACTACTTGGAGTTACTAACGTTACTTGAATATTAATTAGACTTACTAATAATTTTGGATATAAAGGCATAAGTAAACATAACATAACCGGTCAGTTTATACCAGTTTTTCCAAGACAAGAACTGGGACAAGAATCAATCCAAAGTGGTCCGATTCGATTTTTGAGCCTATGTTAAATTTATTAAGCAATACGGTTTTTTTCTCTTTTCTTTCGATTCAGTTTGGCTCGGTTCACCGGTTCATCCCCTTACCAGAAACCAGGGCCAAAGATACAAGGGAAAGACGAGGACTTTGTACCAGTAGGGAACGAACACTGTTGGAGCTCAGAGCCTGGGAGACGATGAAACGTTTCTTTCAACCAGCAGAGAAAGATGGGTCTGCCAAAAAACCCACTCTTTAATCTTCTTCGGAAAATGGAGAAATTTCAGGGGAGGGCAGCAAGAAAGAGCCACTCAAGTTCAACTGGCCTGAGTTCACTAGCTTTTGACCCAGATGTCATTACAATACACAAAATTTTGTTCGGATAGACCTAGAAACTACGTGTAGCTAAAATCTATTGTGAATAATTCATCAGAATTGTTTAACGTTTACTTCAACATATATTTCATAGAAGAAATATATGCCTCGTTAGATATTTAAATGCTAGAGGTATAGAAATTAACATTGGACTAGATCCAACTGAAAGAATTCGTAGCTTAAGATCATTCCAAAAGCTTGCCTTAGCAATGGAAGCTCCTTATAATACTTCATCCAGAGATTTACAAATGAAAACTTTGTCGCTTGAGAATTGCTAATTTGCACTTTAATATACATCAAGACTACTACAAAATGCACCGGCAATTTTTTTTATTATCTTTGCTGAAACCTTAATCACTATCCAACGAATTTTAGATGGAACAGATAATTACTGAAACTGATCTAGCTCACTGCTTGAGAAGGCTTCCGCAAAATGCCAAGTCGAATTGCTCCTCCGGGGGATCTCCAATGAAGTCGAAGACTGCATCTGCAGTCGGAAATTCTTGATTGGCTGTGTATCTGCAACCAGAGTTAAAGATGAAGTGAACATATTAAGCATTTGACTGCTAAAGAAGACTACACTTAACTCATTCCAAATTGTCAAATAAGCCATCTTATAAGTTTGAAATATAATATGGAATGTCAAGAAGGTGGAAGTACCCGCTCTTAGTTACTATACACTTCATTCCAGCCGCTTTGGCAGCTGCAAGGCCTATGCCGCTGTCTTCTATCACAACACAACTGTAGAACAGGAAAATCAAATCAGTTTTCATGAACCAAAAGGTTAAGCATGGGAGTTGGATATCTTAGCAAAATGGGGTGGAGAAAGCACATAGATCCCTCATATTTGTTACGAAAGTAGATTCAAATAAAATCTTGTCGTGTTGGTGGTTGTATTGTAGCATCAGAAATTTGGTCTAGAATGTCCTGCAATACCTTGAAGGATCAACACCAAGAGTGTTAGCCGCCAATACATAGATGGCCTGTCAAGAAGAATGAACATAGTTTAGTTTCTAAATGTGTCTGAGAGCCTGCGGCTGAGTGAACACAAAGTAACCAGACATCATTAAATCAAAATGTAGAGGGATTAAAGTTTACTGGATCAGGCTTCTTCTGGGCAACCACATCACCTGCAAATATCTTGATTTTTTCTGCCCGTTCTGGTCCCAGCAAGAATGTAGCTATTGCGGAGACCTTAAAATCAGAAAACGATTCTAACGTCAAAATGGGAGGGCAATCTATGAATCAGTATATTTATTTAACAAAGAAGCTAAATTAACCACAGAGAACTAGATTATGATCATTTGTCTTTAATTTTATGTTCAAAATAAAGTGCAAAGCTGATAAAGAAGATGCATCAAGGATAAAATGAGATCCATAGTTTCAATTTTCAGTGCATTTGATTAATAATGAGCAATGTCAATCTGATCCAGATCCCATATAGCTTTTGAAAATATGTAAGAGTTAGGTTTTGATTATTATAGTTCTCGAAGAATCACAGAAAAACTAATTATGCAAGCAATTAAGTTGTGGAACCTGATTTAGCATACCGCCTTCTCGACGGAAGTGCTGCACACAGCAACTTTAACTCCTTCTGCTAGAGCCTGATCTATCAGCCTGTACAAGTTGATAAGAGAAACTCACCAACCCAACATACCTAGAACCACAAAATGCAAGAGAAATATAACACAAATAATAAATTTTTCATGCAAAAACAGAAGATCAGATGGTAACGAACTTTACAACTCCTGGCCGAAGTGGCAGCAGCCTTTTCTCAATAAGGGCCGCAAACAACTCTGTCTTTCTCTTGTGAAGTGAAGCTACAAATGCCTTTCTTTCTTCTTCACTCTTCGGAGCATTTTTGGGCCAACCCGTCTTGTTAAAATAGGCTGTCATCCTACGAAGACCAGAACCATTTGAGTACAAATAGAAATCACAATTCTGCAATAAATTAAATGTTAACCAAATAATTCAGGGTATAAATAAAAAGAACCAAAATTAAGCACCCCAGGAAGCAGGAACCATGTAAGTCCAATGTAAGCTAGCTATAGAGTATTTTGGGAGAGACTTTACCTTTCTTTTCCACCTCCAATCTTGAGCAACTCTGCGTACAAATCTACATCCCAAGTAACACCCAATTCTTTCTGTGCAATCAATCATGTCATGTCACTAACCCATGAAAGTAATTGAGATTGAGGTCTGCCAACAATTTCCATCAAATTTAAAGCTAATTTCTCCCCAGCTCCTCTAAAAATGTCACCTATTTATGATCTTACCGAGAAAAACATCCATAGCAATTCCCCAAAAACAAGAAAACCCATTTCATCAAACCACACGCAGATTGAAGAAAAACAGAGAAACCAGAGGAGAGCAAGGGAATGTTACCTCTTTGAAAGTTTCATTATAAGAAACGCGGTGGCCATCCTTCTCTGTATCGACAAGCACGCCATCGCAGTCGAAGAGAAGAGCCGAAGGAAGAGGGGAAGCAGAAGTTGAGCAATTGACCTCAGAACTAGATGTTCCAAGCCTCCTGCTGCTCAATGGTCTCGTTGTTTTGCTAATGGCTAGTTTTTCACCCACTAGTGAAGATTGTAAGTTCCTTCCATGGGATTTGAGGTTGGCCATGGAGGTGGTCTTTTTGTGAGATAGCAAAGGTTTCGTAGAAGATAATGTAGCTAAGGAATAACAGACAGCCATTGACGCCATTAGAAACCACTCTCTTCAAAGTTCAAAGTAATTTTGGGACTAATCAGTCTACTTTTGCGGTGCACACACCGCCAGCGATTTATAACCAAGGGCGGAATGGTGAGTTGGAATGTCTGAAGTTTTTAGCTTAAAATGTAAATGCTCATTTTTTAACTTACGATTTCTGTAAGTTTAAAAAAAATAAAATTATACGTTAAATCATATAAATCACGCTAATTCATAAATTCATTCACAAAGGGATCTAGCAAGGAGCCGGTGAAGGCAACCTCACCGCCTTTTCTCTAAAAGGCGAAAATAAAGTAATTAACTAACAGCCAAATATTGAAACACAATACCTGATCAATATGAGCTCTAATTTCTCAAACTTCAAATTTTGTTCTAGTCTATTGTGTGTCCTCTCTATAACGACTTAGTTGTTAGAGGTCGTATACATTGATAAAAACGTATTTGACTAACATTATAATTATGATTGATAATATTGTTTTTTGTTTTCCTTTGCTACTAATGAAAGCATTTGTAGTCATATATATAGCTTAATTTTGCCCCCAAAGAGAAAATTTTCTAAATCTGCCACTATCCATTGACTATTTTTTAATAAGTTTTAACATAAAACAAATACATATTATCAAAATGAAAATATGTTCAACATCATAATTGAAACTATACACATTCAAGGTGTGCCCCTACAATCCTTGAGAGAAGTAAAATATTTTGTTATTTCATCTAAATCGCACCGGCCCTAGAGCTAGCTAATGGAAAAGGGTGATGCGATGGGCATTAACATGAATATTGATGACAAAGTAAGGAAACATTGAGAGAAAATAGTAAAAGTTAGATAGTTAAAGTCATGAGTGTTTATTAAGGGATAATGTTTCTTAATTGAGCAAACAAATTAAATATACAATGATTATGAGCCTACAAAGTTGAGTGGACTACTATTAGCTATCAGAGAAACAACAGATAAAAGAGTCATATTCAACATCAAGAGTCCTAATACTCTTAGCCCAAGCCATTTGCAAACCTCTAAGGAGAATCCATAACTCAGCCTCTGAAGGAAACATGCATTTAAATTTAAACTCACGGATTTTAAGCTACAACATACATGAATCAAACATTCAAAGAGGAGGAAGCAACTTTTAGATCTTATTAAGCCTTATGCTACCAAATTCCAAGTATCTTTCTAGGTCTAATCTCACTTATGCACAAAAGAAAAGGGAAGAAAGGATGAGACTTTCTTATCCTTGAAGCTCTCTTGGATGGTCTCCGAGTTTTCACCTTTGGAAAGACTTTCTTCCTTGTTGCTTGCTTCATAGAGTCTTCACAAGGTACCAAAGTAGATGTCCTCTAGTTCATACACACAAACGTAGTGTAAGAGATGAAGAAGATGACCAAGAGGAGGTAAGGTGCTAGCCCTCTCCTCTTGGTGGCCGGTTCTAGCATTGTAGAGTGGAGATTTCTCTCTTCTCAAACCCACTCCAAAGTTGGATTCTTCAAACCCTAGAAAGAAAACAATCTAAGTGCAACTTATATAAGCCAATACAAAAGATTAAGCAAAACCCCATCCTTGTATTTTAGCCATAGTGTTTCTTGGGCTCATTTAACTTATGTTGTGATACAACACAGGTTCTCTTGGGCTCATTTAATTCCAATTTTTTTAGATCTTGAAAATAGTTTGGAGTTCAATACCAAACAAGTTTATGATCTTAAAATCACTCTTTGAAAACCCATGTTTTTAACAAGAATCATAGTTTTTGTATTTACTTTTTAAAGTAGGATACCAAATAGGGCTTAAGGCTCCCGAAATATTAAGGATTATTTTATTATATGCTCCCTGAAGGTGTATTTGAGTCTCACTTTGCCCCTTGTAACTCATTTTGTCTCACTTTACTCCTTTTTTCACACATATTTGTCTCACTTTGTCTAGATTCCGGAGAGGCCAACAATTTCCGGTCAAAATTATAAAAATTAAAAACTCAATTAGTATACATTATGTTTTAAATATTTAATCTTATTTAAAATTGAGTTTTAAAATTTTAATTAATATTTTGACCAGAAATTGTTGGCCTCACTGGAATCGAGGCCAAATGAGGCAAATATGTGTGGAGAAGGGAGTAAAGTGAGACAAAATGAGTTTTAGGAGCAAGGATGAATTCAGGAAAGTGGGCTAATATTTTTCTTGACTTTCGGGACTCCAAGTAAAATAATAATAATAATATAATAACATTTAAAATATTTCAAAACCAGAAAGTAACAAATAAAATAATAAAATAACATCTTTAAAATATATATAAATATCTAAAACAAACTTTTCTCCTTCTCTCAGAAATACTATGCAGCTAGAAGAAACAATGCAAATGCAATTCAACAGAAGCAATCCAAACTACAGAGGGACCAGACCAGCCCCTATTTAACCTCAAGCCTTGGAGTTTCAACTTCAAAACCACCTTAATTAGTTGATAGTTGTAAAAATATTTAAAATGGAGCCAAAGAAGAGGGGTTACAGTTTGTTTTGGCGAAAAAGGAAAGGGGGTTTACAGCTACTTGGGAACATAGAGCATGAAGAAATTATTAAATTTTCATGTCGGCAGACATTAAATATTTCCCGTGTTTGTTTTGGTAGTAATTTATTATTAGTACCATGTTATTTGTTCCAAAAGCAGTCCTAGATATGTTTTTTTTAGTCAAAAGAGGTGAGCTAATATTAAACAAAAAACAATCATAGGCCAGGAGACAGAGATTATGGGCTAATATTTTTTGGAGTAGGATTAGCTTATAAAATTTGTACCAAGTTTAGTATTTTAAAAATTTTACACTGTACTAGAGCCTAGCCTAGCCTAGCCTGTACATGGATCCGTTCTTATTCAGGAGGTAAAGTGAGACTCAAATACATTTTCAGGGGTCATATAAAAAAATAAGCCAAATATTAATACAGAGAGAGAAAATGGAATGGAGAGACCAATAAAAAATTAATTACAATATATCATTATATTAATATATATATATATAATTAGTTTGTTTAATTTTAGCCGTTCATTGTACTCTAATCTAATGGTTGAAGACTTATGTCAAATAAAAGAAGGATAATTATCTCGAACGGCTATACTCATTAAATATACTCCAGAAGAACACGAAGCTTGCACTCGCAGTCAAGCCATTTCACTTCTCTATCAACTCAAGCTTCGATTTGTTGTCTTTGGTTTCGGCTGCTTCGTCCTCCCGATTCGGCAACGAAAAAAGACCCAACCCGCCTAGCCGGCCGCCTAGCTACCGCCTAGCCGCCTAGCGACCGCCTAGAGACCACCTAGCCGCCTAGCAACCGCCTAGCGACCCACCTAGCCGCCTAGCAACCGCCTAGCCTCCTTGCGCCTACCTAGCGACAGCCTAGCCACCTCGAGCCCGCCTAGCGACCGCCTAGCCACCTAGCCGCCCGCC